TCTAATGATGCATGAAATTGCATGTAACTTCATAGCACAGAATGAAGAAGCATAAGAGAACTCAGAAAAGCAGTTAAGAGTGAAAAAGTTCACAAAAATAACAGATCACTTATACAGAAAAATAAAACATTCCAGAAATAGCAATCCAAGGACTCCTCCACTGTGGAAGGGCATGGGTAACTCAAAATAACTTCTTTTGAATGACGAAATGGAAGATTCTTTTTTCTTACAGAAAAGCAGAGTTGCCAAGTAAAAGTAATGTCACCTGCACTCATCTACTACCCAATTCCACCCACAGATGACTGGATAGATTCAGAACTAGAAATCTCACATGTTTATGCTTTAGAGTTACATCAAAGTTAAACAAATGGACGTTTCCTTTAGAAATATACACGGAATGTTCTTCACCCCCGTGGTCCTGTGTGAGCTGGCTCTGGAAACCTTCACAACAGGGAATGTGCTTGGTTATGTCCTTACACCAAACTTTTGACTCTCTCCATATTCCACGGATCCAAGCAGTGTCTGACAATGAAGCCGGTACTTCCCCCCAACAGACTGACCACAGAACCCCTACACACATGCTCTGTCAAGATCACATAACCCCAAACGCCATAAAGTAATCCCTGCATTGGAAAACATCCAACAAAGTACCCCATGTTAGTGGTTTCTATTGTATTTTCAATTGCAGAACTGTATTTATCACAGTACAACAAAACTTGCTCTGCTCAACACTAAAACCCTGGCACTAACAAGAATATTATTGACATCTCAGACATTCTAATTTTGTCTATGTTTAATTTCCCTGAAATATCCTTTCAGGTCACCTATTTAATATAGTAGACACTCTTTATTTACCCTCTTTTACCCTCTGTAGTGTGAAATGCCCAATATTTTTGTGGTTTTCTTTCAGTATTCTCAGTAACAATGTAATCAGTGTGATCAACAGATACCATTCTATACCTGTAAGGGTGATTTAAAATAACTGTACAAGACATCCACTGCCCTGACACTCACTCTGGACTGTTTTCAGAAAAAACATATGAACAGATACAGCACCTTTAATTTATTAAGGTAGCGCCTGGTGTGAACAACCAAGAGATCTTCATCAGTAGCCTCCCGTGCCTGCACAATCAAGTCATCTGCAATTAGTTTTTCTTCTGCAACAGGAGAGAAATAAAAATTGGCATTGTACAGCACTGCTTAGCTCCCCGTGTCCCCCTCCAAACACTCTGCTCTGACCTCGGTGTGGTAACTTCCTCTGTAATATTTACTGCTGGAATGACTTTAGGTTGCTCAGAGTTTGCAAGTTTTCCAAACACACCCGCTGTGTCACAGGTAAGCTGTTCAGGTGGTATGTCTTTGAGAAATAGTGTTCAGAAGTTTTCAGAGTGTGCTAAGATCATGGGAAGTTCTTCTCTGAACGGACAGAGGATGAAGAGACACTGGAATTACACAACTCCTCACAGTTTAGGGCTTGGTGTACTGGGGAAATCTTGGTGCTTGCACCATCAAATAGCCACCATTATTTTAATATGCTTTAAGAAATCCCACACTTTATACTAGGATTTAATCCCCTAAATCACAGAAGAATAAAGTAATAAATCAAAATTCAAAACAAAGTAATGGCTTGGATGTTCACAGAAGCAAATAAGCTTAATTAGGATATTTCTATTACCCCCTACCTCAGTCTAATTTCAAGGAAAAACAAAGAGCAGCTACTAATTCTTATCCTTAGAGACTGAAAGATTATTTTAAAACTTAGTTTCATAAGAGCAAGTTCCTCCAAGAATTCAGAATGAGCGCACATGATCACTACAAACAACAACTATAAGGAATCCCAGCAATCTTCCCAGGCAAATTTTGATATTTAATTGCTGCACAGTTGTAGCCTCCAAAGCCTGTAACTCTTATTTAATTTTATACTTGGAGGAGAAAGAAAACAACTCTGAAAAGTGAGAGATTTTGCTCTGAAGTGTTATACAAGAACAGCACCTGCGACAACATTTGTTTTGGCCAGCTTCTGTTTCTCCTGACTGAGGCTTGAGGAACAATTCATTCATGCAGTGGTGTCAAACAGAGCCAAACTGCTGCCAGCTTCCTTCTCCAGGAGGAAGGGACTCTGCAAAGATGCTCGCTGCTGATCTGCTCAGTGGTAAGGCACAGGGGAGGGTCAGCTGTTGCCAGGAATTGCTACACAGCCACAGCAAACCAAGTGCTCTGGGGCATCCTGGGGCTTCTTCCTCCTTTCAAAGGACAGTGAAACAATTGGGAAAACTGGTTTTCTGTGAAAGCTTGAGACACTTGACAATAGACGTGTCACAGAAAAGAGCTGGAGGAAAAGGCTTTACACAGAAGAAACAGAAAGGCAAAAGTTCTGATCAATTAAGAAAACTGTTGTGGAACACAGCACTAAATTATTTAAGGTTGGTAGAGGAAAAAGCCAAAACTCAGCTACTAAGTTATTAGAGTGTTAAAATTATTTCACCTCAGTTAAAAGAATACAAGTCAGCCTGCAGTGGGAAGGGCAATCCTGAACTGCAAAGGATCATCAGCTGAAGGAGTCATTAGGACCACAGAAAAAGAGGTCTGGCTTTGGGACAACCAACAGCCTTTGTCCTGGCAAGAGAAAAAGCCTCTTTTTTTTTTTTACCCTCGATGAGCAAGTTTTAAATGAAGAGATGCCAAGATTTCACAGGCCCTGATTCTGCCCCTGGTTCTTACCTTTTCATCTCCTTAATGCATTTCTACCTGTACTCTACAAATTAATGCATTTCTACCTGTATCCTACAAATGGTTTAAACAGCAATAATTAAAAGCATCATAAAAAGCTGTGCCTGTACCAGAAAGGCCTCAAAGCTCTTTCTAAACATTATCAGAGCAATAGGATGAGGCTGCTAAAGAAAGGATAAAGTGCTACAGCTGCACTTCTCCCTCAGCCTGAGGAGCTCTGTGTGCAGTCCAGCTTGAGTAAGTTACATCATCATTAACACCTGGTGTTTCACCAGCCACAGGAATGCCCCAGCTCCTGCTACACCAGGTGTAAAGGCAGGAAGCACAAGGCTATAGGAAGCCACACACTGCAATTCAAGCCCAACACAAGTCTGTACTAACCACGTAATTTTCTTTAGATTTTGTGCAAATGTTGATTCAAAAGGCACCTTGTTACGTTTTTACCTTTCAAAAAATTGATGACTTTCCCCCATTTCCCTGCATCAAAGGGGTGCAGCTTCTCAAGTCCCATGAAGGTGATGTTGTAGTCTGGGGAATACACAATGGGCCAGCATCCCAACGGGGGATCCTCGTACAGCTCCGTCCTGTGAGGCCTTGGCAAGCAAACACACACCAGTCACCACTTCAAAACCCATCTACCAGTTTGACACTGAAGGCTCCAGTTACAAATTAGCCCTAATACCGACTTGGTAATTCAAAATATGGTAATTCCAACAGAAAAATGGCAACATTTGGTTCTCTCCCCTTGTCTTTCCAGGTGTGTCAATCAACACCTCTACCTTCAAAGGTGCACCAAGACTAGACTACTATTTTAATTTCTGTATCAAAACACAAACCATGATGCTTCTAACAACAGAAGCTTGGAAAGATTTCTATGCTCCCTTCCTAGAAAGCAACAAACTATTTTGTGACCACCTGAGCAACCTAATAAGCCTTAGGTTTTTATTTGCAGAGGACAGAACCAGATGCCACGCCTGTAACCCTTAACCAATATTTTCCTTAGCCTACCCCTCCAAATCATTTTATTTTCCCAATACCAGGAAACACATCACAGCCAGCTCACAGCCCTCCTTCACAAGCTATTCACAAATCCAGCAATATTTATTAAATGCTCTGTGTTTACAAACACAAACGCCAATTGTCTATGGACACCAGTGTGCACCCGTGGGTCAGGAGGACAAACCAAGGCTGAGATGGGATTCTGTGTTCACACTTAGCCTACTCCACCACCTGCTGGTTGCCTTCTGTGCCCCAAACTCTCGCCACTGGAGAGAACAGATGCCGAGGCCTCTCCTGCTCCCCGAAATGCCAAGTATGGAAAAGGCTATGCCACATACTGTGCAAGACACAAGTGTCTTTTTGTCAGGTGAACAATACAAACAGAAACACCCTTATTTCCAGCCTGAACACGTTCAAAAACATCCTTTGAAAACCCTGTTAGAAGCAAGCCAAAGGAAACACGAGTACAATGGAGGTTTTTCCCCAGAACCCGCAGCCCGGTGCCTGCACACCGCCCACACTGAGAGCCAGGGCTCCCAGAGCCTTCCCGCGGCCCTCCCCGCGATACAAGGCGGATTCTGGGGAAGGTGCTGGGACAGCGGGGCCCGGAGCCTCGGCTGGGAAGCAGCAGCATTCCTGCGGAGCCCGGGGTGCTCGCGGCGGGACACCCCGCTCCAGGGACTCCGCGTTCCCGGCGGGACTCCCCGCTCCAGGGACTCCTCCCGCCGGGGCGGGGCTCGGCCGGGCCGCGTCAGGCCGGGCCCGCGGGGGCTCCGGGCGCCGCCGCAGCCCCAGCCCGGCCCTGCGGCTCGGTGGCCCCGAGGCTGGGCCGTGCAGGCCGAGCCCTGCCGCCGCTATCCCCGGGCCCCGCGGCCGCCCCCTGCCCGTACTCACATCCCCGCCTCCGCCGGGCCGCGCAGGGAAGGGGCGGCCGCGGCCGCGGCACCGCCCGGCGCGGGGCGGGCACACGGCGGTTCGGGCGGGGACACGGCGGCCCGGGGCGGCTTGGGGCGGGCGCACGGCGGTTCGGGCGGGCACACGGCGGTCCGGGCGGGCACACGGCGGCCCGGGGCGGCTCGGGGCGGGCACACGGCGGTTCGGGGCGGGCACACGGCGGCTCGGGCGGGCACACGGCGGCTCGGGCGGGCACACGGCGGCTCGGCGGGGCGGCTGAAGCGCCCCAGCCCTGGCTCGTACGTGGGGCCGGCGGCTCTGCGCCCTGGGCCGCGCCGTGCACTGCCGGCGGCGCTTGTGAAGGCAGCGGGGAGGTGCCGGACCTGGGAAACGCGACGGCCTCAAGGCGATCCCGCACTAACGGTGTCTTTGGGTAGGAAAATACCGTCCTCTCTGTAAAATAAAATTAACAGCTTGTACCGGTAGGTGCTAATAGGTCTACAGCACAGTGAGGAAAGCAAAGGTGAAACAGTGATCCTACCTAACAGCAGTGGAGCTGTTGTAAATGCAGACAAACCCAGTGGGAAGAAATGACGATGTCTGACTCAATTCAGAAGGCTGAATGATTTCTTTATTATAACTATGGTTAAAATACATTAATATGCTATATAAAAGGAGGATGCTAAAACTACATACTCCTTTCTCTAACTCTTAACTCTAACTCTTAACACAACTCATGACCCTCTCTGAGAGTCCAAAGACAAGTGGATTGCATTGGATTGGATTGGCCACCAGGCTCAAACAATCCTCACCAGAATCCAATCAAGTATTGATTCCAGGTAAACACTTCTCCAAACACGTTCCACATAGGAAAAACAAGGAGCAGAAATACAAATTGTTTTCTCTTTCATTTTTCTCTGTGTACGTCTATGAAAAATCCTGAGAGGGAGAGAAATGTGCTTGCCACACAGAACTGTTAATGATTTTGACAGGTCAGGATTCACCCCACGGACAACACCACTGAATTCAGGCACACAAGAAAAGAGTTTGAAGTCAAAACCCCATTTCTAAGCATAGTTAACTAACCCTGCTTGAATATATATAACAAGCGTTTTTACACAGTTGTATAGCTAAATCAATAATATGATGAAAAACAGTCCATCAATAGGAGCAGTATCTATGAATCCCAGGATGAATGCCCAGAAGCACTCTTTTCACTGGAGGAGTAATATCGCTTTATAAGAGTACCTGATAAATGTCTTTTTTCTTAAAATATGTTGGCTTTGGCTTGGCATTCAGTTTTGATGGATGCCTGGGCTTCACCTTGGTATTTATTTAGCAGCAGGAGACCGTAACACCACAAAAACATTCTATCGCTTTGACATTATCTTTTAATTAACATTTCTTTTGTTCTGGTCCTTTGTGTGCTCACACAGTATTCCTCCAGCACATTTACCTTTTCTTCCTTGTTCCTGACTACTTGGGACTTAATTAGAGTTTGAGTATTTGGTTAACAAGCTACAAACAGTTCGTTAATGTTTTAAGATCTTCAAGGGGCTTAATTTCTACTATGTTCTTATTTTCATTTATACTCTTACTTAAATTAAAAATCCACTGATGGACTAGTTTCCATGTCTCTTGGATGTCTTAAATTGTTTCGGAGCACTTCCAGGCATGGGGACTCCACCACTCCCCTGGGCAGCCCAGTGCTTGACGACTCTTTCCATGAGGAAATTCTTCCTAATATCCATTCTGGACTTTCCCCTGCACAGCCTGAGGCCGTTCCCTCTCCTCCTGTCCCTGTTCCCTGGAGCAGAGTCTGACCCCCCCCGGCTGTCCCCTCCTGTCAGGAGCTGTGCAGAGCCACAAGGTGCCCCCTGAACCTCCTTTTCTCCAGGCTGAGCCCCTTCCCAGCTCCCTCAGCTGCTCCTGGTACCCCAAAACCCTTCCACAGCGCCGTTCCCTTCTCTGGACACACTCCAGCCCCTTGAGGTCTTTCTTGTCCTAAGGGCCCACTGCAAGAAGTTGTGAAGTTCTGTGAACTTGAACATGATGAATGGTGAAACAGGATAAGGGATTTTCCCTATCAAGAAACAGTGAAATTATGGCTAAAGTCAGTGCTAGCAAATTCATGCCACAAAGAAAGTTGGGACTCTGGATCACTGACATAACCTCTGGGTTACCTCCTACAGATGAAGCAGTGTGATGCCAAATTGAGAGTTGATGCAAACTCACAGTATTACTTCCTTGAAAATTCCCACTTAGTGCCTGGAGCTGAAATCCTGCAGGAGCTGGGATAACCCCGGTGGATCTGACCAGGCCTGACATGTGCAGCTCTCCTCCACTGCACGGAGGCAGCTGAGCTACTTCCAAAGCATCTCTCTCCTCTCCTGTCAGGACAGCCTGTCCTCCGCAGAGTGTGAATCAGCTCCCTTTGGTTCGGCTGTGAGATGCTAATTATGCATCATTAAAGGGCAAGGCACCTTCGAGACTGACATAAAAGCAGTGTCACTAATAGTTTGCTTTCAAACCTCTTTGAGTTGAGGCTTTTGAAGCAGGTAACATCTAGACATTTGTTGAGAAAATCAGGAATGAAACACTTGTTAAGAAACATATAGAAAAGGGATTGCTAAAATTTACACTGAGACTTGATTTTCCTATTAAAAAAATTGAATAGTAACTCATTACATGAATTTCTACAGTAATATAATTGGTGTTTTTCAAACAGGAAATAATATTTTGAGAGACCATGCTACTTTAATCTCTTTGATCCTGGGGCCTTTGATCTGCCATGGTGTGACATGCCTGAGATCAGGCATTTTCTTTGGTGATGTGTTGAAAATATGAAATTACTGATTCCTGTAATCCAGCACAACAGAAAAAGGTCTGTGCTTTTTATAGCTCAGAAACTGATACAGCTTTCTTCCCTTTCTCAGAGCCACTGGAAATGTAAGGCCTGAATATTCCTTAAAGATAAGATTATTTTCCTTACAGTGTTATCTTCACTCTAATTAGCCTAAGGCCGTCTCCCTCTCTGAATTACACCTAACTGAAATCCTCACTTCTTAACAATTTGGTATGATCCACAAACAGCTGCTCTGTGCCTTTAGTGCTCTGCAATTTTCAAGATGAGAGATGTGGGCTATTGCAACAGAATTCAGATGATACAAACCCCAGCAAGGGTTTCTCCAAAATAGTCTTTAAATGTCCATTTCAGATTCACTGGAGGGACTCCGCTCAGTGCCTTGAGCTGATGGCCAGTGGAGGAAGCCAAGAGGCTTGATTTACTCTCCTGCTCTGTAAACATCTGCTCTTTTTGACATATCTAACCTGTTCTGATCTTTAAGTGCTTTGATAATCTGAATGATACTTAGTCTGTTTATAATATGCAAGCGGTGAAGTGCAATGCATATTTCTGGCTGACCTTTTCCAAGTATATTCAAAAGAAACACATTAACTCAGCTGATGGGAAAAGTGTAATAAACACTGGGAAAATGGTTAAAAGTATACTTAGACTACCAGGAAGACAATAAATCTCATATTTCAGGACATTTTTGTTTCTGATGGCCTCCTGCACCTTTCCCATTTACCATTGCTTCACAGGTATTGGACTTGATGGAAGTAGGGCTGGGGAGGGAAAAGCAGTTTTATGTCCTAAAGATATCACAGAATCCCAGACCAGTTTGGGTTGGAAGGGACCTTAAAGGTCACCTCGTTCCAACCCCCTGCCACGGACTGGGATGTCAGTCACTAGATCAGCTTGCTCAGGGCCTCATGCAGCCTGATATTGATATTGATAACCAGGAGCAGGGACTTTCTGCTACCAGCAGCACGATCATCACTTGCAATGACTTGGAACACCTCTGCTGCCCCAAGAGAGGCCCAGGGCTCAAGAAATGAGGTGTGGCCCGTGGGGGAACCAACATGACACAAAACATACTCAGCGTGTTTCCAAATCCATTACTGCTTTTCACTATTTTCTTGTTTCTGTGCTAGTTTTAGATTCATAAATTGCACTCTAACAATGCCTCCAGAGATGTCCTGGCAGAATTTCAGTCTCGGTGTTCACCTGAGCACAGCTGAGAAAGAACCTGGAGTTATTCCAAGCTCAGAACTATTTAGAACCTTCTTCAAAGGCCTTCAGCTAAAATTCCTCACTGGTGCCATGAGGTGTTCACAAGTTTAGATAGGGATGTCTTGTGATAACCAGATGGGACTTTTTACTTATTCTTAACTATGATGGCACAATTCAGGCACAGATTATCAGATAACTGGCTTTATTTATTGACTTTATTACTATTGATTCAGAAGTATGTAATGGTCACAGAAATTAGAGGGCAGAGACAGGATTCTGCCATAGTGCTTGCTCTGCTTTGTGCCCAGGACACTCTCCAGGAAGCCAGGGATCTGTGAAGCGAAGGTAAAACCCAGCAGCAAGAATAGGAAGTGCCAAGGAGCCCACAGCTCTGAGTAGCTACAGCAGGACTCTGGGGTGTTCTGGTGTGTGGCCAGAGGAGCTGTCAGAAACCACCCACAATCTGGCTGTGACACGTATTGCTGCATCACACTCCCACATGTGATTTGTGTTTATTTTCCTGAGAACAAGATAACATTTCATAGTTGTATTGCAATAAAAATTCCTACTGGTGAAGAACCATGAGATATGCATATATTTATATATAAAATAGTAGAGGTGGTATCAAGAAATACTTGCTTTTTAGAAAGCTTGACAGCCAGGGATCCTTCATAAATTTCAGCTAAAACTGATCCCTTCTGTTTTCCTCACCATCTTCCATATGACTAATAAATGCAATCAAAACAAAAGAAAAACATGTTTTTCAAGCATCTCAGGAAAACTCCTCTTAATGTGTAAGGAGCAGCTCATTTGTTGTTTTTATTCCACAGGAAGATATTTTGACAAAGAGGTTCTGGTCACACAGCAGTACAAAACCTCTCTCACTGCTCAGGTTAGTAGGCTGCTCATCAGCTGAAGGATGCCAATGACCAGCAATTACCGTCCTTCTCATTTAGGAACCCTGATTACACCTTCTAACACCTTCTTGTGTTAGTGCTGCATAAAAGTTTGTTTATACCATCTTGATTCAGGGTGTGAGGTGATTTAAAGCAGCAGCAGGGAGCAGAGACTTTTCTTACTTCTCTCAGTACCAAAAGTCACCAAAATAACAGGTGCAAGCAATTCATCTCCCTGCCTGCTCACCTGCTGAGTGTTCCAGGCTTCCATTTTTGCTTCCACAGTCTTCCATTCTAATCAGTAAAATTCAGGAGAGTATTTGTTGCTCTCTCCAGTTTAATTTTTTTTTTTTTTTCTTATGAAGAGATTAATGTCAAAGTGAGTTAAATACTGCCTGGTCTTTCCTACTGCTCCAGTTAGAATTATTCACCTCTATAAAATCCACACTGCAATGCCACAGCCTGCTCCATGGGTTTAAGGGGAGGTTGTTTGATTCAGTCTCCCCTGATGGGTTAGGGAAATAGGAGCAGCTCCATAGAGCTTAATTTCTACCTGGTTTTTAACCACAACAATGATACATTCAGGGAAAGGGTAATTCTTAACAAAAAGAAAAAAAATTAAAAGTAAAAATAGAGGGGTGGCTGAAATATAAAAAGTATGGACTGAAAATTATGAAAGCAAATTCAGATGCTTTACATTTCAAAAGATGCAAAGCGCCTTTTTGTATGACAGTGTCTGTCATACAATATACCTGGTTGGTTTTTATAGTAGAGAGGCAAAGCCGGATGGCAATTAAATGCCGTGCAGTCACTAACTGAAGGAGTTTATGGTGTTTATTGTCTGTGGGTAAAAGCCATTAATTTCTCTGGGACATGAGAGCACTGTAGCAACTCTGCATAAGCACTCCCAGACAACACCTGTACCTGTCAGTGTAAATGAGATCAGAGTTTCTGCAGATTTATTCTGCAGTTCAGTGAGGAAGGAACTGTTTTTCTTGCTTTCTGAGCCACTGTTTGACCATGAGTTTCTTCATGAGGTCATGACCAAGTTTCAGTTCCTTCAGTGTCAGTGCCTTGTGTCACTGGCTAAATTTGAGGTACATCTTGACTTATCATTGTTCTTGATGAGCACATCCAGTGTTGTGCTTTCTTGTGCTCTTTCTGATGTCTCTTCAAGTGACTGGAGAAGTGCTTCGCTGTGATGCCATCGTTGATTTAATTCATGGCATCTAAATGATATCCACTGACAAGGACAGCAGAACAAACCAGCATTTCTCTCTGAAAAGGACAGTAGAACAGAACACCATAGCTTTGGAGAAATAGAGGAAGGTGTAACTGAGTCAAACAGAAGTCAGGCAGAACACAAGCTTAGTCTGCAAGGACCAAGCAGAAGTATATGCAAAACAATGATAATGTGCTTATTCAAAAGTGGGAGTCGGGAACAGCCCCCTAAAAGGATGTTGAAGACAGACCCCAAAGAACCACATGAGAACTTTCAATAAGGGGTATGACTATAATATAAATAAAATAAAGTAATACATATACATCAAACAAGCACTAGTGCTAATGAATATGTATTCCGTGTGTGGGAGCTGAGGTTGTTCAGCCTGGAGAAAAGGAGACTCAGAGGTGACCTAATCATTCTACAACTTCCTGAAAGGTGGTTGTGCTCAGGTGGGGTTGGGCTTTTCTCCAGGCAGCACTGACAGAATGAGTGGACAGAGTCTCAAGCAGCACCAAGGGAAATATTGGTTGGATGTTAGGAAAAGGTTTTTCACAGAAAGAGTAATAAAGTTCTAGAATGGCCTGCCCAGGATGGTGGTGGATGTGTATTAAAAAACTGGATGTGGCACTCGGTGCCATGGTCTAGTTGAGGTGTTTGGGGCATGGGTTGGACTCAATGATCTTGAAGGTCTCTTCCAACCTTGTGATTCTGTGAATTCTGTTTGTGATAAAAACTCTTTACCCAACACACAGTGTGAAGGGGCTAACAGCGGCCTGTTAGCTAAGGAGTGAGAAGAAGTTGAGAAATAAGAAGAACCTTATAAGGGGCTTTCTCTAAGGCTGTTACTAAAGAGATTAAGAGAAGAGACGAATTAAGAAAAATAAAGAGGGAATTTTGCAGCTAGACAAAGTATTTTTAGAAAGTTAGCTGAAGTCACTGTTACTTTTCACCAATAGTGTTACGTTGACTTATTGTGGCCAATAGTTAGGGTAGAAGAAGTATAAAGAATTGTAAAGTGTATAAAAGGTCAACCATCTTCAATAATAAAGAGTTACCATCTGAGACTGCTTTGTGTCGCGACCGCCTCAAAAACGACAGCTCAGGGCACTTGATTAGAGGAGGAGTCCTCTGAGTGACCAGCACTGCAATAAACAGTGCCAAGTTTCTAACACACAGGCTGTGTTGGAAAGGTTCTATCTGCTTGCTTTCAGGGTCACCACAAGGAGAGACCTCTATCATGAGGATTCACCACTGCATCTCAAGAGTCACACTTTGTATTCTGAAGGGATGTACGAGTAGAAGATTAAATATGTATTGAAAGTTCTAATTGTCCAATGCGTGCACTGGCTTTATTTGCAACACAGTTGATTGTTTGAAGCCAAGTGGAGTCAGTCTGCCAGTTTGGAGCAGGCCAGGGGTCAGTCACTGTCCCCTCTCTAAATCCATGTCCCACAAAATCGTTTGGGTGGTTTTTAAGGCAGACCTTTGATTTCTGTGCAGCAGGAACAGCAATCCTGCTGGCACAACCCAACAAGCCTGCAGGTCCTCCACACAGCTGGAGGTGTGAGCACAGAGCTGCTGGGTCAGAAGGAATGCCCCCAAAGCAGTGGGGGGAAAAGGAGGTGAACTTTAAGGTCCTTCCAATCCAGTCCATTTGTGATTCTGTAATACTAAATCAGAATTCAAAACTAGTTTACCATCTGTGCCAGATCTCTGGAGATTCAAGCCCTACTGAAGCAGCATCCTTCAGTCTGGAGAAGTGTTCTCTCATCTTCTGTTTGCAGTGGAGGCTTCTGTCCTTTGTATGCTGACAATCTCCAGCATGTCTGTTCTGTCCAGAAATACAGATATTGCCATTGCTGAAATGCCTCTCTCTAATCATTAAAGTCAACCCCAGGCCTGCTGTGAGTCTCTGAGGCAGAACTATGGAAGGATAATCTCTGCCAATCTCTGCTTTTTGGTCAAGTGGCACAGATTTCTCTCCTGGTTCCTGTACCTGATCACAGTTACCAGGAGGATGCTCACCGTGGCAGCAGACAGAGTGCTGAGGAAAATGGGACCAGTTACAACTGCACATTCCCTCATGGTTGTGAGCTGATGGAGGGGGCAGCCATTCCAGCTCACTGATCCCAGGTGAATGAATTGTTTTGAAGATTAAAAATAAAACCATTCAAATCCTTGTGTTGGGTGTTTGTAGAGCATGTACCAAATCAGAAGGAATCACAGTTGACTTTTGACAAGTTGGGGGTTGACTCTTCTGTGTGATGCATCCTTGTAGCATAAGCAGCAGCCAAACCATTTTCTTCACAAGAGACCCCATCCCTTGATCAGTGATCAGACTTAAATTTTAAGTTTAATTCTCTTTGCCGTGGGCAGGTGTTTGGTTTGCATGCTGGCATTACCTAAGCAGGCTGGTTTCTCTCTTTCCAGATGCCAGTTTATGTCATGGGCATCACCAGCACTCAGACTCCTTTCTCCTTCGGCAGTGCTGTGCCGGGGTTAACGTTCCACTGGTCTGTCAGCAGGAGGGACACCCTGGATGTCAGGACAAGGCACAGTGAGGTAAAGTGTGTGTGTGTGTGTAGTGCGTGTGTGTGCAGCTTGGGAAAAGGAAACGGCCACTTCAGGGCAATGCAGGGAATGTTGCTGCCTCCACTGCCTCAAAAGCCAGGATCAGTGGTCAGCACCTCGGTGCCAGTGTCTGCGCTTTCCATGAGTCAAACTTGAATCCCTTCTCCTGTCCAAGGCTGCTTTTCAGCTTCCTGCAAACTACAACTTTGCAGTGGATGTTTATGGCAGAGTAAAGGGAAGAACAGGCCTCAAAGTTGTCGTGAAGGTTCTTGATGCTGCAGCCAACCAGTTCTACAACATGGCAGAACTGTCTGACGAAATCCAGATTCAGGTAGATGATTTCCTACACAGTTGTTCACGTTGAAGTATCTCCTTCAGAACTGGACTGAAGTCTGTATTTGAGATCAGGAATTTGAACTGCAGAGTCGCTCCAACTTTGGTTTATCTTTGTGTCCTTACTCTTATTTGTATAGTATTCCTCATTTGGGCTCATGTAGTTCACAAGCTCATGGGGGCCGGGGTCTTGGGAATTTGAATTTTTCTGATCATGTTTCTGCCAATGTAAAGGTCAGGGTTTTTGCATTTAATGATGAATTTTCCCCATGTTCACTTACTGCTTGTTCATGACTGTTTTCTCCCCTGAGAGGGAGAAGGGCTGCTGGGAATGTGTCTGTTCCAAGGTCCAGGTATTATGTGAGTTGAAATGTCTGAGCTTTTCAGGTAACTAAGCAAGTGTGTGTCCTGTCATAGAACAGTTCTGTGTTTTAGCTCGCCGGTGGTCAGGGCAGTGCCATCAGAGCCTCTAAGGGGAGGCAGCAGGACAGCAGCTCGGACAAGGCAAACAGTGGGAGCTGTACAGAGCCTTCCCCCACCTCCCTCTTATTTCTCATTTCTCATAAAAATGTTTTTGTTGTACAGTCACCAAGTGACAGACCCTGCTCCAGTCTGGGTTCACAATTTGCAAACACGGGATCTTGTTACCTGGGGACGTGGATATTTGTGTTTCTCCACAAATGCCAGTAGTTCATTGAGTGCCTGCTTGTTGTGTTTGGCCTGTGTTGGATAACACCCCTCGGAGCAACAGACCTTGCTGTGGCTCACCTGGCTCTCTGGAATAGTGAGAATGTTTGGGTGACCCTATTGCATGCACTAAACCAAACAAAGTGGCACCAAAAACTGAAATATTACACCCGCAGTTTGATTCATCAAAATCACACTGCTTGGTGTCAGCAGTTAGGTAGAGATCAAAGCAAGCCAGCATATGGCTTGGCAAAATCCAGAGCACTGCATAAAGATCTAGTTTTACTTTGTAGGGACAGTGTATGGCCAAGAATCCGCTGTAGAACAGTAGAGGGGCCTTGCACCATTGGTCAGGTGTGGTAATGCCCAATACACCACCATTGTAAACTGCACTGCACAGCACAGCTTGCAGAGAGCACTGAACACACCGTCAGTAGGCTGTCACCATGACAGACGTTTATGGAACGTAAGGGAACACACAGCCACTAGCTGGTTTCTGCACTGGCTGCTAATGTAGATAGCATTTGCTACACTGCTTCACGAAACCATGCAGCTATTGATTTTTGTTATTATCCCACGGGTATGTGTGTGAAGATTTCAATGGTATGTGCTGCATGAATTTAAAAGATGAATCAAAATCAATTCACAAATGCATTCAGGAATTATGGAAACGACACAGGAGATGCTTGTACCGTCTTTGCTATCTTGTCTGCAAAGGGCCCTGCAGAAGATGGGAAACATGGCATTTGTGGTTGAAAAGCACAAAAGGGGAATTGTAGAATAGGAATGGAGCTGCAGGCAGCCTCGGCCTTGATGAGTTACAGCTATGTCCTTGAACAAGCGAGGTAAACAGCTTTGAGGGAGAAGAAGCGTGGAATGCCGATGTGTGTTGACATCTACACCAAGAAACAGAGAAATTTATGACCAATTACAAAAGCGTAGAAGGCACATGCTTGTAGCTTGTTAGCCAATTATAATGCAAAAATGAGTGCACGTTATGCGTGTGATCTAGAGAAAAAGTAAAAAGTTGTACTGTGGCATCATGAACTGCTGATGCTTGCCACCATCTTCAGTGTCAGTCTTTTATCCACTTTCACACTCCAGCTTTTCTCGTTTGCAGAAATGTTGAGATCTGTTCACCAGTGGGGTGTCTTGGATGGGTGGATGTGACAGAACAAGAAGTTAATTATTCTTCAACAGACCATGGTTTGAATTACATGCAGTAGATAATGTTTCAGGGCACACTCTTGAATAATGAGGAGGAGACAAACTGTGTGTTTCCTAGCAGCCTGTCTTCTGGCAAGCTGTTATTGGTTTATTTGAATATTTGCAGAACTGAACAGTGGCATTTGGAAAAAGAAAACAACATAAATATTGTTCTGGGTTTTTTTGTTCTGAACAGATTTATAAGGAGATGAAATCCAGTATTTCTCTCTTCACAGTGCCAAATTAACCCAAATTGGAAGCCACCTTCCCATAATCCCACCTGAACACTTTCAGTATGCTTCATTTGTTTAAATTGCCAAGACAACCAAGCCTTTGGGGAGGACCTTCTTCACAGTGTCAGGTGTGTTTCAGCTGAAGGCCAGAGGCACGACATCAGTCATCACAGATTACTTTTATTCCACTGTAAATGCTCCATTCATTTGGTGTGATGCCAGCGTCCTCCAGAGAGTTGCACAAAACCTCCCTGCATGCTTTGGATTTGAGATGAATTAACAGATACCTGGAGTTACAGATCATTAGGAACAAACTCCCTAGCAAATAGGTCACTTCAGAAATGGAGGATTGTGAGTTACCCTGGCTGGGTTTGAAAGCAGCTGTAGGTAACATTTACAGGGATTGATGCAGTCTCCTGGCAGTGCAATACACTTTGGCTTTCACTGTCCTTGCTCTTTGCCTCTTCCTGAGTGTTTGGCAGAGCTGGCTGCTGCCAGTGATGCAGGGGTAGGGACTGTTTGGCCCTGGCAGCACACACACTGATCTGACCTCTCCAGAGGCAGGATTCATTCAGGACAGTATTTCCAAAAGTCCTAGCTATTACTGTTTAAAATACAAGCTTAGGCAAGCTGATGTGAACTCCAGGCCATGCATCTACTTCGGATACACTCATCTTACAAATCTGGATGAATTTACAGCAAAAGATGCAATTTAACCATGAGGGTTTGAAGGGCATGCAGTATCCAAGGATAAGGACGTGCATACATGTGCTGAGGAGCAGAGCACCTGTAATTGGACAGATGCATTTTGAAAAGAATTTAGAAAGTTAATAAAATTTTTAGATTCTTACAACTGCTCTTTGCACTGAAGGAGTATCTTATGCTCCATCAAACTGGTTTTTAATTTAAATATGTCCTTTATAAGAAGATCTAGGATTTTAAAAAGTACATAGTTAAGTGACTGAGATACTGCTTCACATTTGAATTCTGAAGCAAAATACAGTTTCTTGAAAATAGTGTTCTTGCACACAGTCCTGCAGTATAACTCATCTATTTTGTTCACTGCATGAAGAAAATCAGGCATAAGCTGTAAGGAAAAACCCTTTATGGAGTTTTCAGCATATTTTTTTTTAGTGGAATAGAATGACACTCCCTAAAGCCAAGCAGGTGCCACATCAGCTCTGAAAGAGAATTCCAGAAAGGTCAAACAGAATGTGTTCTGAGCTCACAAAAAACTACATCTTATGGCACATCTCTAGAATGGATAGTGTAGGGTGGGTTTTTTTCCTTGTTTGTTTCCTTGGTTGTTTGGTTTTTAATGTGGTGTTTAAATTTAAAAAATGGGGCTATTCATTATTTATACAGAAAAATGTCATTTGTCTTCTGCTTTTCACCAAGTGCTTTCCAATTTAGAAAGGGTCACTTGATTGTAATTAAACCAAATGTTAGCGAATAATTCACCTTTTTCCTTCACCCCATCCTTTTCATTAGTTAGAACCAAAAGGCTGCAACTTTCAAATAATAAAAAATCTTTAGTCAATAATTAGTAATAATTAAAGACTCAAAGATGTTATAGCAGCTAGTTAGGAACAAAGAAGATTCTGTTTGTGAAATTAGAACTAATAGGGAAAAAAGTAATTTCTCATCAACTCAAATATGTCTAAAAATATAAGCTTTCATGCAGTGTACTCCTGGGAATCTCTTTGTAATTTCATTTGACAAACACAGAGCTAAAATTGGCATCCATGTAATTAATTTACATTATTACATAAAATATGGGGAGAATAATTCACAGAGAGAAACTGCATGGTGCAGAGTTGCTTTAAAGCTTTTTTCCTCTTTCTATGAATTCTATCAGATATGTAGTTACATAAATCAGAATGGCACTTCGGGAACTCTTACAGTCTGAGGTGCTTAAAAGATTTAGAAATTTTAAGTAGAACTCAGTGATTGTAAAATTAGCCAATATTGGGCTATATGGAGAATCTTCTTTTTTTCCCTGTGTTTCACACAACTTTTCACAAATCTGTAACACGAGAAAAAAAACTAACATTCTAAACTAAAAGTAAACTGAAATGAGCAAAACCATGTACAAATTGCATGAAAATCTGTTGACAAACACTGTTCTGCTGTTTTGGGTCTGGGTCACCAGAACTGTTTGACACTTCCACTGAAGGAAAAGTTCAAATAGCAGTTTTCTGCTGGAGCAGAGTTCATCTGACAAAAATCTTTAGTCCTGTAGGATTCCTGTGCTTCCAGTGCAACTGAGCCTGGCTCCGGGCGCAGCATGGGAGATGCTTATCAACTTCTAAAGAGATCCTCCTGTCTCTTCATCACCTCCTTAGCAGGGCTATGCAGAGAAGTGATCTGAGTGACACTTACTCAAAAGGACCCACAAGCAACAAGAAAGGCCAGTGGGGAAGAAAGGAGAGCACAAGTATGTTCCCAGGATCCCAAGAGGAAATATTTCTAAAGAACATAAAACCTGGTGGGGCCAAGCTGTTGGCTGGTGAGGAGAAATAAAATGGCAGATGGATGTCGATGTGCTTAGGGAGATCCCATGGGAGTAAAAGAACCAGTGATGACACCTTGTGGGGAGCAGCTCTTTTCTGGGTGAGAACAGTCACCCCAATTTCACTGCATGCTCTGATCTCCAGAATAAAAAGCACAGGGAGGCAAACGACCTTCACAGGTTCCACACAAGCAGCATGAGTTCTGATGATGGGCTTCCAGCTTCCTGCCTCAGCAATAAAATACACCTGAGAATGGATTTAGGAGCTGTTAGAGACATGGCCCTCTCCTATGACAGATCCCAGGTGAGCAGGAATGACCCCAGCTTATTGTGAGCTTCAAAGGAAAACAGGAACAAATGTTTTCCCACTTTTTTGGGTCTTTTCTAGGATATTTCTTTTTGTATTCCATCACCTTATTTAGCTTTTGAGTGCTGCTGGGCATTGAGAAGAGTCTATAATTGTGCTGGGTGTTCTTTTTCCCTTAGCAGTTAGTGTGAAGTTAGAACAGGGCCCTGGGCACAGGCAGTTCAGATTTGCCAATCTCCCATGCTCTCCCCTGCATTTGTCAATGTCTGAGTTTCACCAACTATTATGTTGCCAACTTGCCTAGTTCTGTTCCCATGAAGTTTATCACAGCCTTCTCTTAGGAAGATAAATAATGTTGTTATCTGAAAATCCTGCTGACATCATTTTTCTGTTCTACACTTCGTTTCTGCCTTTCTGGATAATGAATGAGTGTATTAAATGCTAACTACAGTCCAGATCCTTGGGACATACTAATATTAGCCTCCTACTGAATTGAAAACTGACAGCCTAATGAATTAAAACTCTTTGCATGGGAACAACAGTATTGACACAGGGAAAATCAGGATGACTTGTGATTTACTTGTAAGCTGAAGAAAAAATCAAACCAAAACACATCCCAAAACTTTGCAAGTGCAAGTACCTGCGATTTTCACTGAATTTAATTATGGGTCTTGAAAAAAATAACAGGCTACGTGAGGAAAAACCAAATCTAATTTTAAAAGAGGGGGGAAACTACCTCTGTATTCCTGTTCCCTTTGCTGTGTATGGCATCACTGAACTATAAAACAGTACCTTAAGCATTTTCCCCCAGTGAAACTGCTAAAAGTGCCTTGGCTAGAATATCCTTGGAAAATCAAAGCTTGTTTAGGTATTTGATCCAGAGAGGACAAGGTAAGCATTTATAGCTAATCAAGCCTGAAGTCAAAGATGAACAAGATGAACCAAACTGATGACTATTGTAGCTTTAATCATGCTGGCAGGACATGCTGCCTTCTCAAAGTAATTTAGATTTTTCTGGATATCAGAAAAAGTCCCGCATTTCTCTGATACTTTGGTATAGTATCTGTAGTGGATATTTCTGAAAGCAAAAAATACATTTGGAATAAACATCACCAAACCACATAAAAAAGGGCAGTTTCTTAGTGTTCTGCCACTGTTATAAAAACTAATATATTAAAACTTAGATGTGTTATAAATTTCAGCAGAAA